GCTGTTCTATAGAATCCATTCCCATATACTATATACGATGTATTTTCCTGTTTTGTTTTTTTTTTGATTCATCAACACAATGTTTCCTATTATATCTATTTTTGTGCCATGGATAACTTTTTTGTTCTGTTTAATACATTTTAACAATGCTGAGAATACTCTTAAACAAATGATTAATAAAGAACGTCTCAAACTCAACACGCAAAAAATAATCCAGTCAAAAAATGGGCAGAAGACATGAACGGACACTTCTCTGAAGAAGACATACAAATGGCTAACAGACACATGAAAAAATGTTCATCATCATTAGCCATCAGGGAAATTCAAATCAAAACCACAGTCAGATACCACCTTACACCAGTTAAAACAGCAAAAATTGACAGGGCAAGAAACAACAAATGTTGTAGAGGTTGTGAAGAAAGGGGAATCCTCTTACACTTTTGGTGGAAAGTGGCACAAGTTGGTACAGCCACTTTGGAAAGTTGGTACAGCCACTTTGGAAAACAGTGTGGAGGTACCTCAAAAAATTAAAAATAGAGCTACCCTATGACCCAGTAATTGCACTCCTGTGTATTTACCCCAAAAACACAGTAGTGAAAAGAAGGGCCATGTGCACCCCAATGTTCATAGCAGCAATGTCCGCAATAGCCAAACTGTGGAAAGAGCCGAGATGCCCTTCAACAGATGAATGAATAAAGAAGATGTGGTCCATATGTACAATGGAATATTACTCAGCCATCAGAAAGGATGAATACCCAACTTTTACATCAACATGGATGGGACTGGAGGAGATTATGCTAAGTGAAATAAGTCAAGCAGAGAAAGTCAATTATCATATGGTTTCACTTATTTGTGGAACATAAGGAATAGCATGGAGGACATTAGGAGAAGGAAGGGAAAAATGGGGGGGGGGAATCAGAGAGGGAGACAAACCATGAGAGACTATGGACTCCAGGAAACAAACTGAGGGTTTTAGAGGGGAATGGGGTGGGGAATGGGTTAGATCGGTGATGGGTATTAAGGAGAGCACGTACTGCATGGAACACTGGGTGTTATATGAAAACAATGAATCGCGGATCACCACATCAAAAACTAATGATGTATTGTATGGTGACTAACATAACATAATAAAATAATATTTAAAAAAAACAAAAACAAAAACAAACAAATGATTAAAACCAAGCTAAGATCTTTGACTATTACTCACTTTGTTCTCTTTCCTGACACAGAGACTACATAATCTTAACTATGGCAAAAGCTAAAATCAGCTCAGTGCATCCATTCTGAAGAGTACCAAGAAGACACAATGATAAAAAAAAGAGAGAGAGACATTCTCCCCATTGACCCACAGTTTAAATCGATCACGTACATAGTCATTTAAGTGTTTATTAATGTACAGTGATATTTATTTTCCTCTCAGTACAATAAACATCAAACTCACAACTGACTCAGGGTGATACTGACTACTACCCGTCACCATCCATGTCACCCTTACTCAAAGATGTAATACACTTGGTCCATTTATTATCCATTCCAGTGAATATTAATATTCATTTTCCTGACTATATATTTTAGTAGTGAACAATGTTTCACCCTCTTCATCTTTATTCATTTATACATTTGCAAATTTATTCTTGCCATTGATTCTTTTATAATCATATTTTTAAAATTTAAGAACACAAAGACCAAGGAAAAGATCACTGTAGAATGCTGAAATCTATCTACAGTCTTAATATATGGTGAATGGATTAGTCTTTTTGTGTTGGACCTCAGGGTTCTAGATATGAGGTATTCATTGCATATGACTCAAAAGCCACCAGTTATCATCACTGGACCGTAATTGCCCATCTTCATCCTCATCTACATTTATTTATTAACTAATTAATAAGGAAATGCATGTAAATCACAAAAACACAAGAATAAGGTCCTTGATTATCCCATAACATCCACCTATAGAATCATTCACATAAAGACTAAATCTCTTTCATTTAACTGAACTCAATGTTTCATTTATGGACTAAACATGTAATGCCTCATATCAATCTGATATTAAATATCACTATGGTTGGCCTTCTTTGATTATATTCAATACTGTTTAATAATGCAGTGAATAATTTTCTTAAAAAACCAATCAAACTAAGTCAAGAACTTTGACTATTACTCACATTGTTCTCCATGTTCCTAACACAAAGATGCAACCATACAGTTTGTGACCTTGGAAGAATCCTTAAATCAGGTCAGGAGTGACCATTCTAAGAAGTATAGAGTATCACAGCAGATGATATCAAGATTGAGAAATTGTCTCCATTCTCCCTTGCTTTTTACCTTCATTTGGTTGGTCATTTATTATCCATTCCAGTGGATAGTAATATTCATTTTCCTGACTATATATTTTAGTAATGAAAAATGCTTCACCCTCTTCATCTTTATTCATTTATACATGTGCTAACTTATTCTGCTATTGATTCTTTCATAATTATATTTTTATAATTCATGAACACAAAGACCAAGAAAAAAATCACTGTATAATCCTGAAATATGCCTAGAGTATGACTTGAAATACGGGGAATAGACTAGATTCCTTTTGTATTGGCCCTCCGAGTCCCACACCCATATTATTCATTCAACTTTGACCATTACTTACTTTGGTCCCTCTCCATACAGTGGCACCATGACTATTTAATGAGGCAGAAGCTGAAATCAGTTCCAGCATCCATTCTGAAGAGTACTAAGCAGAAAATGTGACTAAAATGGTTGAGACTTTTTCTCCATTGATTCATAGTTTCCATTTTTCATTTGCATAGTCATCTGGACATTTAATAGTGGTAATATTTGTTTTTCTCTTAAATTAAATGTCAAAGTTTTAATAGACTCAATCAATACCTATTACTTACCACTATCATTCTCACTCAAGACATATATACTTGATCATTTTATTTTCCATTCCAATTATATTTCCTTATTATATATGTTAACAATAAAGTGTTTTATCCTCTTCAGATTTATCAATTTACATTCTATTTATCGTACCATTGATTTTTTTTTATTGAAGTACAGTTGACAAAAAAATTTCCTACAAAGATTAGTTAACTAATGCTTCATATTAACATCGTATTTTTTTAAGCATGTTTGGCCGATCACTGATCATATTTCACACTTTTTAATAATGCAGTGAAAACCTTTTTGTAAAACCACAAAACCAAGAAAAGAATTTTGACTGTTACTCACATTGTGCTCCATGCTCTTCACACATAGATGCAACCACAAAACTCATGGCTATGGTGGATTGCTTCAATCAGCTGAGGGTGACCATTCTAAGGAGGATAGACAGAGCAGATATAAAATGATTGAGATCTTATGTTCATTCATCCCTGTATTCCACCTTTCAATCAGTGAATGAATAATAATGACATCGTCCTTGACAGAAAACATGAATATTGACTATTACTTATGAATAACTATATCATCTTTAGTCAAAGAATAGATGCATATGTATCTTTCAAAATAGGTATTTGTTTTTAATATACAGTAAAAGTATTCCTTGCCTAACCACGTATTTTAATAACTGGACAAAGTTTCACTACCTTCATCTTTCTCTATATATTTATTATTTCATTGAACTAATTATAATAATAACAGAAATGCCTGAATGTAAAGGCCAAAAGAAGATCCTTATATATTCCTGACACATGTCTAAAAGATCACTTAAATGGGGGCAATGGACCAGAATCCATCTGTGTTGGACCTCAGAGTTCCAGACACATATTCATCGTGCACAACTCATACGCCACCAGTGGTCATCGATCCAATATTGTACCTATTTTCCTCATTTCTACAGCGCTTAGTGACTAATTTATTGATTCACTAATTATTCTAAAACCCAATTATCAAAAAAAATAGCAACCCTGAAATCCCTATTCTGTATATAGAATTATTTTCACATCAATATATCTCTCTCTTTAAATATCCTACATTTTGGGGCGCGTGGGTGGCTCAGTTGGTTGAGCGACTGCCTTTGGCTCAGGTCATGATCCTGGAGTCCCGGGATCGAGTCCAGCATCGGGCTCCCTGCTCAGCGGGGAGTCTGCTTCTCCCTCTGATCCTCCCCCCTCTCATGCTCTCTCTCTCTGTCTCATTCTCTCTCTC